ACTTTCTTTTCTTTACCAGGAACCACAAAACCCTCAGGTTGTTCCATGTAAATCTCTTCCTCCAATTCTCCATTTGAGAAAGTTGTTTTAACATCCATTTGATGGATTTCAAGATCATACACGGTCGCTAGTGCCACTAACACCCTAATAGATGTTATCCTCGTTACTGGCGCGTAAGTGTCAAAGTAATCAATGCCTTCCTTTTATTTATAACCTGTGACAACAAGTCTTGCCTTATATTTGTCAATAGTGCCATCAGCTTTCATTTTTCGTTGAAAGATCCATTTCGAACCTAAAGGCTTATTTCCTGGAGGAAGACCCAATTCCCATGTATGGTTATCCAAAATTGATTGAATCTCATTATTGACTGCTTCTTTCCAAAACACTGAATCAGAAGATGACATAGCTGCTTTAATAGTTTAAGGCTCATTTTCAAGCAAGAATGTCACAAAATCTGGTCCAAAGGAAGTAGATGTTCTTTGACGTTTGCTACGCATTGGATCTTCTACACTTGGAGTATTTTTCTTTGGTTCTTCCCGAGGTCGTTTAGGTCTTTCACTTAACGACTCACATTTAGTTTTATACGGATAGATGCTTTCAAAGAATTCAGCATTATCTGATTCCATTATTGTATTAACATAAATTTCGGGATTATCGGATTTATGAACCAAAAACCGACATGCTTTACTGTTTGTAGCATATCCAATTAAAACGTAATCTACCATTTTTGGTCCGATTTTAACCCTTTTAGGTAAAGAAACTTGTACCTTTGCTAGATACCCCCACACTTTGAAATATTTCAAGTTGGGTTTTCTTGCTTTCCATTTTTCATATGGAATAGATTGCGTTTTGCTGTGGGGTACTCTGTTAAGTATTCGGTTAGCTATAAGGATAGCTTCCCTCCATAAACTCTGTGGTAATCCGGAACTTATTAATAAAGAATTCATCATTTCCTTTAATGTCCGATTTTTCCTTTCCGCAATTCCATTGGATTGAGGTGTGTAGGATGCAGTAGTTTGATGGATAATTCCATATTCCGAACATATTTCTGCAAACGGAGATTCATATTCTCCACCCCTATCACTTCTAATCATTTTGATCTTTTTATTCAATTGATTCTCCACTTCATTCTTGTATTGCTTAAATGCTTCAATTGCTTTATCCTTACTATTAAGCAAATAAACATAATAATATCGAGTGCAATCGTCAATAAAAGTAATAAAATACTTTTTCCCACCTCGAGATGGTGTCGACTTCATATCACAAATGTCAATATGAATTAAGTCTAAAGGATTTAAATTCCTTTCAACAGACTTATAAGGATGTTTTACAAACTTAGATTCAACACTTATTTGACATTTCGATTTATTACACTCAAATTTAGGCAATACTTCTAAATTAATTAACTTCCGCAAGGTTTTATAATTGACATGTCCTAAACGAATATGCCATAAATTATTTGACTCCAATAAATAAGAAGAAGCTGAAATTTTATTCATACCGTCAACAACCATTACATTGAGTTTGAAAAGGCCCTCTGTGAGGTAGCATTTTCCAACATACATTTCATTCTTGCTTACAAAAACTTTGTCAGAAACAAATACACATTTTAATCCATTCTTCACAAGTAAAGAAGTAGAAACTAGGTTCTTCCTAATTGAAGGAACATGAAGAACGTTGTTGAGCGTTAACACCTTGCCGGAAGTCATCTTCAGGAATATCTTCCATAACCTTCAATCTTGGTTATTGCATTATTTCCCATGGAAATCTCTTCTTCGGGACCAGCAGTAGAGTAAGTCACAAATGCTTCTTTGACAGCACAAATATGCCGAGTGGCTCCAGAGTCAATCCACCATTCCTTCGAATTTCTAACTAGGTTGCATTCCGAAAGCATTGCACACAGATCATCATTGTCATCATTCTTCTCCACTATGTTGGCATGTCCCTTCTTCTTATCCTTTTTCGGGAGACGACAATCAGGGGCTTTGTGACCAGCTTTTTCACAATTGTAGCAGTTGCCCTTAAATTTCTTTTTGTTCTGCTCCTTATTATGTCTAGAAGACCTCTTCATCTTCTTACTTTTTGGAGCAGTCTCCTCAACGATATTAGCTCCCATGATCGTTGAATTTTCACGAGACTTCTTCTCGGCTGTTTTGTTGTCTTCCTCAATCTTGACACGAATTATAAGATCTTTCAACTTCATTTCTTTGCGCTTGTGCTTAAGATAATTCTTGAAATCTCTCCACGAAGGAGGAAAATTTCAATCATTGCAGCCACTTGAAATGCTTCATTCACAACCATACCTTCAACAATAAGGTCGTGAAAAATAAGTTGAAGCTCCTGAACTTGGGTTCCAACAGTTTTGCTGTCTATCATTTTATAGTCTAGAAACTTAGCAACCACGAACTTCTTCAATCATGCATCTTCAGTCTTGTACTTCTTCTCAAGTGCGTCTTATAATTCTTTCGAAATATTCACCGCACTGTACACATTGTACAAGTCATCCTCTAAAGCGCTTAAGATATAGCCTTTGCAAAGAATATCTGCCTCTTTCTACACCTCAACTATCATGAATTTCTCGTTGTCCGGCATGTGTGCAGCAAGCACTGGAGGTTCTTCACTGGTGAATTTCTGCATACCAAGTGTGGTAAGCCAGAAGAGCACCCTTTGCTGCCATCCTTTGAAGTTGGCTCCAGAAAATTTCCCCGATTTCTCGACCGGTGAAACAGCAGTCCGTCTTGACGAGGCTATCGTCGTTGCCGCAACAGTCGAAGAAGAATTTTCATTATCAATTGCCATTTCTCACTATCAACAACAGAAGAGTTCAATTAATGGCAAAACCAGAAAAGTAAACAATACTGTAATTAACAATAAACAGTACGTATGATAAATAAGAATCGAAGTTTTTATATATACCGTTTCACAGAAAACGATGAAGTTTTTATGTTCTTCAAAACGTTTTCTGAATTTCAATATTCTGATGAAGTTTTTATATCTTCAAATAAGAAAAGTAAAATTCAGAAGGAGTACAAAACCACATAGGTTTTAATCTCCACAAACATAATACAAAATATAATAAAATAATTTCCTTTAAGATTGTTATCAAAACTGTATTGTTGTAATAAACAATAAAACAGTAAACTTTCATTCTGAAAATAATGTAGGAATAAATCGAGCCCACTGAATACACAGTGTGTCCTTAAGGAAATTATTCCCTCAAGTACCCGAGGTGCTGGAATATATCCTCCCAAGATAGAACGATTTAACTCACCAGCATATTGGTACCAAAAACTCTGGTGAACAGCGAACCACTCAATGATCGTAAAACACACTGGAAAAGTATTGTGCAGAAGAAGAAGAAGATAATCAAAAAATTTAGTAAGTAAAAATTTTGGGATTCAAAGCATATTTATAGCCCATTTGGCACTGTTTCTGAAAAGGTTTGCAATCTTTCAGAACAACCATAACTGTTGGAACACATGAGAATATTGCGGAAAAATTAGAAAACGGATTTAAAATAATCCGGGAATGAAAACGGACCGGACCGGATCGGGTCGCGGGTCATGGGTTATTTTGGATTGAATCCGAATCCGGATGCCGAAGCCGAGCGAGCAACGACGACGATGACGACGACGTGATGCTTGCCTTCTTCTTAACTCTTTAAGAGCTAGAAGAAAAGCAACTGTATATATACCCATCGAAAGTCTTTTCTTCCTCCAATATGGGACAATATCCGTTTGCCAAGGAGGGAAACTCAAATATTTTATTTTCACTCAATTTCTCATTCACCCTCTTTAAGCTGCACCAAGCTTAAAATTAAGCTACACCAAGCTTGAAGCCCAACACATACTTGCAAGAGCATGGGACAATAAGATCTTTACAACATAAACAAGTATACAATAAGATGCAAGACATCATCAGATGACTTAAATTTTTTCTTAGTCTAGATCATCCCGGTAAAGCTCCTGTAATTGGCTCCATGACAGTCTTCCCCCCTCCCCCCTCCAAATAAAAAGATATTTCAATTCGACCTGACAAACCTGAGGTCCTCTGATAACTATCTCTCCCGTTGTTTCCGCCACCGAGCCTGATGCTCTTTGATAAATTTTTTCTGGACTCCTCTTTTGTCCCACTGGATCTTGAGTATTAAGTTCTGTAAAGATACACGCCGGTTCATTATCACAGATATGGTTTTTGGTGGTCGGAAGCTGTCACCATCAATAACCCAAGCGACGGTTAGACATAGTAATTTTTTTTATCTAGACAGGTTGATCTAGTTAAGTACTCCCTCTGTTTCAATTTAGATGGTGCACTTTCTTTGTTTCTCCGTTCCAAAAAGAATGACACGTTTTTACAATTGAAAATAATTCAACTTTAAACTCTTCCTTTTACCCATTTTATCCTTAATGAAAAGCTTTTATAACCACACAAATATCATGGTTCCACAAAATTTTTACCCTTAAATCTTTTTTTTCTTAAACTCCGTGTCGAGTCAAACTACCTTATCTAAATTGAAAATTGAAAACGGAGGGAGTATATACTTGCACAATACATGATCTAAGTGATTTCTATAAACATTTGATTCAAAATTTAAACGGATTCTCTACCTTAGGTTTTGAGTATGATTTAATATTTCACAATTTGATGTATGTCATCCCAATGGCTACATTTCCACAATATTATATATTTAATTGTCCACCTAAATCCATGTTCTTCCTCCTAATTTCTCCTCCCGAATTTCTTAAGATTTTTCATTCCCATCAATGATTAACTCATCGATTCACTATAAAAAAATATAAATCCAAGATTTTATAGATCATGTATTTTTAGCAATATAAACACTAAAATATGAAGATCTTCAAATTCCGATTAAGTTTAACATATCAATCAAGCAATTTTCAAAAGCAAATAGACATCAACCAGTTGGGTCAAAGATTCAGAAAATAGAGGCAAACAAAACTCAAGAAAATTTAGAGAAATCTAGTAAAAGAAACACATAATTCCACATACCCAAAATCAATATAGACTCTTCACCTCAAAATTAAGCAATTTCAAAAGTAAATCGAGATCGAAAATTAAAATTCACAAGGAAGCTATTTCCTCATCTTCTTTTTAAAAACAACAAATTGAGACTAAAAATTACACAAAAGTTCTCCATCTTCCACATAGTAATCTCTATCACCAAAGTTGAGAGCATAACTTTTTTTTTTTTTTTTTGAAATGGAAGCTCAGAGTAACTTTAAAGAATCAAACTGAAATTGTCTTCTTCTTTAAAGATTTCTTGGGGTTACAAAAAATTTTCTTCCTTACAAACTTCTTCCATTTGGATCCAGCAACAAGTTCAGAAAATTCCTCCATTCCCTTCATCTTTCTATCAGCGATTCTTTCTTCTTCATCACCTCTTTCTTGTAGCAAAGAATTTGCTTTTCACCTGTTGTGTTTGATTCCATTGAAACAGATAAATAAAGTCTTTACCCAGCAAAATGATAACACCTATAATGGAAAATAAGTTGCCTAAGAAACTTTTTCACCTCCATTGTTGGGCTCTCAGTCATTCTTCACAGGATTGAGATGAACAAAAAGATTAAGGAAGTGGGCGCTCTTTTAGTTTTAACCCAGGTAGATATACGTGGAATTAAAAAAGACACGTGGTAGGTTTTTTATTTTCTTTATTTTACAGCATTTATGAACACGCGCCGAGTTTTTTCTTGGATTGGAAGTTTTGTGTTTAATTGACGTGCTTTATATCATGTTGAGTGTCTAATAGGAACAAGCTCTAGTTTAAGTGTTTAAATGAAAAATCATGCTACTTTTAAGGGTATCCATATGTATTTGGCCTATATTTTTTCATATATACAGAGCACATAAAAGATATATCGTCACTGAATTAAAGAAAAGCCAATAATGATCATCAATAACAACCAGCCATAAAAATATACCATAATCATTATATTTATTCTAAGATGATGACTAAAGAAAGATAAAAGGAATAAATAAAGAAGCTAGAGCTTACTCCAATGGAAACTAACAACAATTAAAAGGCCTAAACTTTAAGCTATTAGAAAATAAATTTCTATCAAACAGAAGAATCCCAGATTCTCATTGTTCTTCGCTTAGATTAAAACAAATTTTAAATCTAAAGAAATAAGCAAGGAATTCACTTTCTGGGTGAGGCATGAAGTTTCACTAATTCACAGACACCAGGCAAGGGAGAAAAGAGCAGGAAATCTTACTCAAGTTATGTCTAGATCTTTTTTAAATCACCTTCAAGTCACTTCTCTTCCATTAGTGTTGGGGTATAGCTACAGAAATGAAGTAAAATCTCAGCCCTACTTAGCATTGCTTCGTATACTTTTGCTTTATTAGAAAGAAAAGAAAAAAAAGGAAAAACACATTGATTCGTATATACAAAAATAACATTGACTCGATTGTTTGCACCACATATAAGGCAAGGCTTTCAGATAGGCAAGCAAGACGATGCAATAGCTTTAAAGTGAATTGTACACACTGAGCTCATAGAGGGGCAATACATGTACCACCTAATCAACATATGCAGAGGAGATGCAAGCTTTCAAGCTTCCCATGAGTAATCGGGATAACAGATAATTTCTATATGCCAAACTATTTATTTACACTGTGAATGGCCGGGTGGGAGCTTCTAAAACTCAAATGTTCATTCTGCAACTATAGGGTGCATTAAATGACATTAAGCCATGATTGTCACGACCCGGATTTTCCACCCTCGGGAGTCGTGATGGCGCCTACTAATAGGAGCTAGGCAAGCCTATTAATTTAACACTTCTCTCAACATCATTAACAGTATAAAGAAGAACGAGGCAATTAATATAAAAGCGGAAGTCTCGAAACATAAATAACTGAAACCAAGTGCGGAAATTCAAATACGCTTCTACCCAGATCTGGTGTCACTAACTCACGAACTTCTACTGAATGCTAAAAAACAAAGTCTGAATGGACTCTGCCGGTGTCTCCTTCTTTCTCTTTCTATCTTTGGCGGGTTTTTGGGTCTTCTCTTCACCAGGAGGAGGCGATCTCATTGAAATGGCTTCCCCGAGGCCTGCACAAGCATAAAATGTCAAATATACCGCCAAGAAATCTATTTATAAGGAATTTAGAGGTGACAGTGGTGAGGGCGTACCATGATTTTTGGCCTCCCATCGAGTTTTGGCCAAATCACGCCAAACGCGCTTGTCATATGAGGAGGTGGAGTCTAAGAGTTTAACCCATCCCGGGAGGTCCTTGACCGCGTCGGGGAACCACACGGTGGCTACGCAACCAGAGGAGAATCAATTCAAAAAAGAAAGGAATTAGTTCGAAAGAGGAAAGAGGGCATTCAGATGATAAAACATGCTCGGTGTAACGACACTTACATCCATATTCCATTCCTCACGGAATGGCATCTTCTCGGCAGGGATGAGGTCTGAATTCCTAACTTGAAAGAAGCGGCTCATCACCCCCGGTCTTTATCTTCGT